GGGCTTTAGGGGTTTAGGGCTTAAGGTTTACAGTTTGGGGCTTAGGGTTGAGGGCTTAGGGTTTGGGGTTTAGCGGAGGTGCATGCAATACGGTGAGAACCACAGACATTCAAAACATGAACTTGTCGCAACTGTACAGAGCCCTCCTCCCGCCCCCACAACGCAAACGGGCACAAATCCCGGTCAAGGAAACAAAGCTCTAACCCCTAAACTAGCCACCTTTTCTGCGGCCCTACACAACAAAAACCCTTAGCCACTTGAACCCCGAAACCCTAAACCCTAAACATTAGGGCCCTAAGCCCAAAAACTCTCTTGCACCTGTTCGCATACCGCCACGGTGGTAGAACCGCCGGCCCCACGGATCAATCTCCATCAGGTAGTAGGCGTCCTGCTCTTGTTTTTGGTCGCCGGGATCAGGGTGTAGGGCTTACACTCTTTAGGTTTTTGATAGCTTACCCTTTCCGAGGACCTTATAGCTAGGGCCTTAGAGCCCCCGGAAGCACACAATAAGAAGGTCCCTAGACCCAAACCTTAAACTAAACCCTGGAAGCATGCGGTAGAGGCCTTCATAATTCATAAAAAGGAACCCCAAAACTAGTATAATCATAAGCAGGAACCCCAAAAATAGTATAGGTAATTATTTAGGCCCCTACATTACATCCCCTAAACCCTAACCCTAAACCCTAAACCCTAAACCGTAAAGGGCCCCTACATTAGGCTCAAGGTTGCGGACTTTGGGGTTAGAGATTAAGGATGCTGAGGAGTCTTGGGCTCCTCCAGGCTTGAGCTTTGGAGGCTTTCTTTGTTGCTTTTGTAGGGTCTATAGCGTTTGGTTTAGGGTTTAGGGGTTATGGGGTTAGGGTTTAGGTTTTTTTTTAGGGTTTAGGGTTTAGGGTTTAGGGTTTAGGGTTTAGGGCTTCGGTTTCTTGGGATTTCGGCTATGGCTATGGATTTTACGGACCCCGGACCCTTGACTCTGAGCTCTGACTTCGAAACCCGCCATTGCGCCGGCTTCCCCTTGGGAGATGCCACAAAGATCCTAGGATCTTCTTAGAGTTCTTGCTTTCAACCCCAGACGTCTAGAAAAGTAAGGATTCCAACATGGATCCCTCAAACTGAAGAAATGTGCCTATAGTTTTACGGAAACCACAGTACCCCCAAAAAGACTCTTCAAGCTCATTTCCGATGCTGCGATATTCATCCAGCTCCATGGTGCCGCCCCCTCATGGGAATCATGTTCCGTGATGCTTAGGCTTTGAGTTGAAGTTGTTGTTGCTATTGCTCCAGGGGTTCGTCTCGTCCGCCACACTTGTATGGTGTGCACTCGGCAGTGGGTGGCAGCATCCGGCTCTCCCGGAACAGCGGCCCAGAGCATGGCTTGATCTTGTAGACCCCATTACCATGCTTTGTGTGGCCATAGGCCCACGGGCAGCTAGTTAGGTGGACTCAACTGGACAGTCTTCAGAAAACTAAGGCGAGCAAAAAAAACAAAGAACCCTAAACCCTAAGCCCCAAACCCAACAACCCTTCACGAAGCCTACTAGCCCTTACGCCACCGATGCGGGTTTGGGATAGGGTGGCATCCGGGGATAGGAGATTTCGTGCAGACGTGGGTAGTTGAAGACTTTCTGATAGAAGGGTAATTGGGACTTAGGATTACGGGGACCCTTGAGGATATAGACCCTCTCAATAAGGTCCCTTGTAAGAGAGCCAGAGCCAGAAGTAGGGTTTAAAAGGATCCCCGTTAAGGGGTCTCCCCAATACT